TCTATCTAGTGGGGAAAGCAGACTCATATGTTATTAATTATGCAGCACTACGGGTTCCTTTAAAGAGGTTTGAGAACAGTGCTAAGGAAGCCCAGGGAAAGGAGAACTCTCACTGCACTGGGGCATCTGCAAAGACTTCCCAGGCAGGGTGATATTTGGATTGGAGCTCGCTCTACCCCTTCTCCCTTTGGAATTTCCGCAGAAAATCAGTTAATTCATACCCTTTGTAAAGAATGTAAAATGTAAAAATTTACATGATAATATCCCTTTATTTTGGCACTCTAAAAGGTAGCTCACCACTTGGGAGCATTGCCAAAAGGCAAATGAATACAGTATAGCTCCTTTGGAAAAGTTATGGATACCCTGGAGTCACTTTTTTTAAGGCTTTTAATTTTGCCTGAATTCTATTTTCCACCTTAACAATTTCTATTGTTTAGGAAACTATTTTAAGGTACCAAATTGCACTTCTGCAGGGCTACCTAGTCACTAAGCTCTAAGGCTTACCTTTCTAATTCAGCTTTTATTATTAGCTGGGCCACTTACAGTGCAGGCATTTTTAGAGCCACCTGGAATAGAATGTCCCATTAACCATGAGTTTTTGAACAAGCAGTATTTGATTAAAACAATTTATTTTCTTTGGAAAAGAAACTCCATAATATTAGTATTAGTATAGAGTACTAATGGTAAGGTTCTAGTTTTAAAATCTTTTTGTGGGAGCTCTGCCTCAGTCACAATTGAATAGAAAGAACAGAACCAACTTTCATTTCCCATGTAAAGTTAATAATAATGGAAATGCACCTGAGGAGGATTTAAAAGCAACCAAAAATAAATGAACAAAAACCAAGAGCCCGGCTGGTGTGGCTCAGCGGTTGAGCATCGATCTATGAACCAGGAGGTCATGGTTGGATTCCCCGTCAGGGCACATGCCGGGGTTGCAGGCTGGATCCCCAGTAGGGGGCGTGCTGGTGGCAGCTGATTAATTACTCTCATCATTGATGTTTCTATCTCTCTCTCCCTCTCCCTTCCTCTCTCTGAAATCAATAAAAACATATTAAAAAAAGAAGAGAAAAGAAAAACAACCAAGCCACTCTGGTGGCTTTCAGTACTCGCTCTCTCTTGTAAGAAAATAGAAGGAAGTGATTATATTTTGAATGACCTACATTGGGCCATCTAAATGCCCACACTGTCCTAACCCAACAGCAGGAAGGTTCCTGGTGTCAAAAGAGTTTAATTGTTTTTTTCTGAATCTATTGGCTTCCCATACCCAAATGGAAATGTAGTGGGGGGAAAAAAGGTGATACAGGAGCTAAAACCCGATTATTAATTTCAAGCTGTGAAATTCCTGTAAGCTTCTTTTCACTGACTTTATAATGGTTCACAATTTTCCTGTGTGGGGCTAGTAATTTTGCTCTGCTCACCTAATTTAAATGGTACCATTTGACATTTTGGGGTTATCTAATAATGGAGTCAGCCAGGCCATCAGCTTTTTAGTATTATGCATTTCATGAGTGAAAGGGAAAAACATCTTAAAAGACAGGCTGGCTTGGTTTAATTTCATTGGATATTAGCATTTTTCAAAAGGAAAGCAGTATTAGTGATGGAAAGTAGGTTAAAACATTGCTGGTTTGCTAATAAGGAAAAGTATATTTTTCCCCCAAGAAAGGCAATGCTAGGGGATGAAACTTCAACACGTGCGAAGCAGCAAAATTCTTTTTCCTTTATGAATCTCTTGATTTCTCTGGATTCATTAGAGGTTGAGAAAAGAATAGAAAGGTTATGAATATTAAAATGACTGGTTAGTAAAAGGCTAAACAGCAGCGGGACTAAAGGGAGGAGGAAGGAGGCTGTGGTCTTACGCCCCTCGGAGGGAAAAGGCGGGAGAGGAAGCGATCTCAGCGCAGTGTAGGTGGGTAACAGGGCATGTTCGGGAGCGCTGTGCAGTGGCATTTAATGAAATCCTGCACTCTGCCTCCTCTCGTTAAGTTGATTCATGGAGTCAGTAACAGGAATAAGTGGCAAGCTCGGCCTGCTGGAAAATGACCACCTGCCCCACATCCGTCAGCTTACCCTCGGGGAGAAAGGCCCTAGAAACTGCAGGCGCTTCCAGGCCTTGCTCACCTCCGCTGTGCCCTCACTGCTCTGAGCATCTGGGTTAGCCTGTCACCTGCTTGCTACCCTCATCGCCGGGTAGGTACCACGTAAGTGTAGACGTTCCTCCTGAAAGGGCCCAAATTCTCCTATTCCTTTCTTTATTATCGTTTTTCATAGACTCAGAACGGAAGGTAAGTTCACAAGAAAAGATGCGACACCTGCTTGTCTTTGGTGAGGTCGGGAGAGTGGTGGTGGTGAGTGACAGAAGAAAACTTGTAAACTGAGATTATTTTATCTAATATAATTATTGCTTGAACAATAGCTGAAAAAACAGTTTTAATGAAGCTACTATTTAGCTTCTGAAATTAGGTTTTTAAAAATTTAATTTCTTTTCATTATTTTTTTTTAATTTACCACCTTTTGTGTAAGCTTAGCTATTTTCATCTAACAATAGCTAAATGACACCATTCTCAGGAAATAACAAGGTCTTTTCAGTAATATCACCATGGACCCTAATCTCCTCCCTTTTTCTCCTGGCCTCAGAAAGAGATTAAGTTCTTCTTCAGCTAACTGATTTATTTCCCCTCTTCAGGGCCACAGGAAAGAGCTCTCCAAGGAAGAAAATGAAATGACCAAGGTTCCTGTCTAAAATAATATGGGGATTTATTAGATTGAACAGAAGGATTTTCCTCTCATCCAATGAGCTGGGTTTTTGTTTTTGTTTTGTTTTTTTAAAAATATCTTTATTGATTTCAGAGAGAGAGGAAGGGAGAGGAGAGAGAGCGAGAAACATCAATGATGAGAGAGTCACTGATCGGCTGCTTCCTGCACGCCCCACACTGGGGATGGAGCCCGCAGCCCGGGCATGTGCCCTGACGGGGAATCGAACCTCCATCTCCTGGATCAAGGGCAATGCTCAACCGCTGAGCCACACCCGGCCCAATGAGCTGTTCTTATTGCCTATGGCATGTCTTCCCAGGAACAAACCTCCGCATAGCTTTTATCGATATCTTTAAAGCAAATATTTTGGGAATAAGCTTCTAACATAATTTGTAAACAGCAGAATTCCTTGGGTACCTCTTTTTATGGGTTTCTTGAAAATAAGGGATTTGGAAATGTATTAATGGGAGGAATATAACAGCATAAACATGGTAGAGATATAGATTTGTCTGAAGTTGCTCTCTTGAAATGGTCAAAACTTTGGAAGGGAACAAAGCAAATGTAGTCCCCTTTTGGCAGGGATACCCCTCCTCCCATAGATTTCCCACATCGGGGAAAGGTAGGAGGGAAGCTAACTTCCAGGAAGATATCCCAAGATGGACAGAGATAGCGTAATGGTTATCCTAACTCAAATAAAACTTTTATTAGCTATCCATGCTAAGGTGTTACCCCAAACCTTAGCAGCTTAAACAAAAACATTTATATCTCACGGTTTCGGTGGGTTAGGAATTTGGAGTAGATTCATTTGGTGGTTTGGGCTCAGGGTTTTTTATGAAATTATAGTCACGATGCCATTGGGGCTACAGTCATCATCTAAAGGCTTGAGTGGGGCTGGAGGGTCCACTTTGAAGGTGGCTCACATCCATGGCTGGTAAATTAATGTTGCTTGTTTTCAGGAGGCCATAGTTCTCTGCCATAAGTATGTCTCCATAGACTACTTGAGTGTCCTGCTGGCATGGCAGCTGGCTTCCTCCAGAGCGAGGGATCTAAGAAGAGAGAGGCAGATGTGACAATGTCTAAGTCTTATTTTAATTAAGAATTGGGAGTTGCTTACTGGTGGGGCTAAGAGAAAATCTGTGGCATGGTGAACAAACAGAGGAGAAAATTCAACTTTCTGCAAACAATGCAGACTGTCTAAATATTAAAACAGACTTCCTTTCCCATGTTAGTTACCATATAAACTTACCTCCATATTATCTACTCAAGGGAAAATCAGTGGCACCAATAATACAAAATCAATTAAAAGTACATTATGTACTGGGGGTAGAGCGGGGAGTAATTGCCATTTTAATTATGTCTGGTCAAATTGCAATTAGTTTGTGTTCCCTGAGAATACACCTGTTAAAAGAGATGGTTCAAATGAGGCAGTCAGGATGTGGGAACATAGACTGAATTTTCAAAGTTTCTTTAGAAAAACAAAGATTTGTTTCTCATATAGCAGTCAAGATTAAATCCTTTACTTGTAGGTAAAATTTTAATATACCATGTGTGGTTTTACATCTTTTTGTTTTTCTGTAATGCTGATAATTTAATTTCAGCATAGGTTAATTTTGAATCATATTGCTGGAATATTAGAAAAAGAAGAAACCAATAAATTAGATTAGACAAGGGAGATAAAACAAGGCAAAGTATGAGAAAAGATTTGGGAAATAAAACCTCTGGAGAGATAAAGGAAGCGAAGGGAAAGTCAGGATGCCCTTTAGAGCAACACTCCTGCGTCTATTAGGAATGAGTGAGCTAAGCCTTGTATCAAGGGATCTGCTGATCGGTGCTTTGTTTCAATATGAGCTTCTGGGGAGCAGTTAGGATCTCTGAGCTATAAACTAAAAAAAGCATTTTGCATTTGAATGGAGGCTCATTCATTAAGTTCACTCATTGAGCCAATATTTATGGGACATTTTCAGTGCGTCAGGTGGCTGTTATTATTTTTGTACTTTCACAATCACAGTAATACAAGAGAGTAAAACCAATTTATAAAATCATCTTGTTTTATAAAAATGAAAACAAGAGATGGCAAATAAATTGTACATTACCAGTCATTACTAATTAGGATATATATGCTAGAAATGTTTTTTACACCAACTATGTCTTTATTTTAGTTTTATGAAAGTGCAATGTGTTTATGAGGCTTTCATATGAATACTTACAATCTTGTCCTTCCACTTCTGTTTTTCTTCTGAGGTCTTCAGTATTTCACATGGAGGTTTTCAGGAGCCAATCACAGGCTGGATACGGGCACTTTTTGAGTAAGTTATTCATCTACGAAGATATCTTTTCTTCTTCTAGGGCTTTGTCAGGATTATTTTTTAATGTAGGCAAATATCTTCCTGAAATCTAAGATCAAAATACTTTGTCCACTGCGCGTGAGCCCAAGCTAAGTAGATCCTTCCCTGTTCATTGGCAATGAATGCAGTTACAGAGATTTCAGGATTATCTTGAAAAATTAGAAACACTTGTTCACAAACTAGGTGAGGGAGTGGATGTTAGTGCTGAAACACCTATTAATTTCTCTAGAAACCAAGTTTCTTTTTTTTTTTTTAACCCAGTGATCTCCAAAATGAAAGACAAAATCTCCAGTTTTAAAGCTAAATCTTTCTTTTTCATCCATTGCAAGTGCTCACTTGTGGTGGAGGGACTTACAGGCCTTAATGAGGCTAGACTTCCTCTCCCTCTCTGTGAATTTTCATACTGTGGAAAAATAGTTGTTTTATCAACTTCAGTAATCTGTTACATTTTCTTGGGTAAGTGTAATCAAGTGCCCTGGACATTGAATTTCTTTTAAAACAATTTTAATAATTTAAATGAAGGTACAATTTTAATGATTTAAAGTATTCTAAGGTGTTTGTTTTTTTTTCAATGTTTGTGCCCTTACATCAAATGCTTAACTACCAATTGTTATACATCTGGTCAATATGTAGTTTGTTTTACAGTCTACAAAAAAGGGAAAATTGGACCCTTATCTAGAGAAAGAGAAAGAGAAAGAAAAAGTCTTTTGGAAGTTGTAGAATTTCATACAAGTTGTGTACTTACGTCTAAGCATATTGTATATTATGTGGAAAATTGGAGAAAAGAAGTAACAAAAAGTAGCTACTTTTAAATTACAAACCATTTTAATGTATTCAGAATAATTTCCAATACCCTGGAAGGCTAATGCACTATTGATTTGGGGAGAAAATGAAAAGACAGCTGTGGAAAGTCACCTTTTCTTTTCTCCAGGATGAATTGTATATGATGGTAAATGTATATATTCTGTGTTGAGATTATTAGATTATCTCAAAATTTCTCAGCATAAAGAACAAAAGTATTACGAACTGACAGATGGGAGGCAAAATTTAGGGCTATTAAAATTGTTGATGGTATTTCAGATATGAGACATTTGGGAGTAAAACATGCCAAACAAAATATTATAAAACAAATATGGAGACAGTGCAGCTTGTGGATTTGGTCATTTTTCTGCTTCTATGTCATAAATATAATAAAATTAAAGTAGACCTCTCTGGAGGTCATATTTTACTGAAAATTGCTGGATTTTTAAATTTATTTAAGTAATTTAAAGTCTGAATTTGTCTTTGTTTTGAAAATTTTTCAGACACCTGTTTAATTTTTTGGGTGTAAGAAGTAGTATGGGAGATTCTGGGCTTTACAGTTTTTAGTGTTCTTCCTCTCCACTTTGTTTATGCACCCACATGCTCCAGGAATATGCTGCCTCTGGGTCTTTGCCCTGGTTATTTCCGCCGGTGGTTCTTTCTCCGACAGACACCTTGGCTAATTTCTCAACATTTGTGTGTTTTTACCATTGTCACAGTGTCTGTGAGGACAGCCTCAACCTCTCTATTTGAAATTTTACCCTCCCAGGGCTCCTTATCCTCTTACCTTCTTTAATTTTCTCTTCTTCAGTTCCTCCCATTTATCATAATGTACATTTTACTTATTCATTTGTGGCCTTTCATTCCTTACAAGGAAAACAAGCTAATATCTTTTTGTCATTGCCGTATCCTCAGAACTTAGACTATGGCTTATCATGTAGTGAGGGCCCCCAAATGCTTGCTGAATGCTGTTGAGTGAATAAATATTAAAGTATCTGAAGTATTGTTGAATCCTGAGCTTTTCAAAGACAGCAAACTTGATCACTGTTGTTTGACTGAATCCCATTATGTGGCCACAAAAATCAGTCGTTTCCCGGTAAGTTAACTTACAAATACACAATGAGTTTCTTCAATATGCAGACAGTTCCACCTCTCTGAGGAATTATAGAAACCCACATTTAGGTGGAAATAAAGAAAATATATCTAGTCCAGGTTTTATTCTGCTTTTTTCTTAAATAGCCTAGGTTCTTTGTTGTCTTTTGATAAAATTTGAGACAGTCTATGTCATTCTCACCTTACTTGAGCTGTGCTGTATTATTACTTTCTCATTTTAGGATATACGATCCTGCTTGCTGAGAATATTCATTCTCTCTCTCTCTCATTACTTTTTAAGATTCTACCTTGGCCGGGCAAAGTTGCACAGTATGTTGATAAAAGGAAATCCTCAGAACCTCCCCAAATTCTCTTGATATTCCTGGCTGAAGCCACCCACACATTTTCTCATGGTTTGGTGCTTTCAATCTCCTCTAATGACTCCTCTTTCACCTCACTTTCTATATGTGTTTCCACCTTGTTCAGGATTTATCTCTTCCTCCAGCCTTGGTTCTATCTAGTCTATTGATTTAATTCTTTATTCTGTGAAAACTCCTCTTTCTTTCCCTCCTCCAACAATGTGTACACGGTTTTCAAAGTAAAACCTGCCGGTTGCATCCAGGTCCCAGGACATTTCTTCTCTAAGGGTGCTTTCATGAGCAGCCTCTCTTGCTTGGGTTATTCAGTAGGCGAGAATTGTATATTCTTTTTCTGAAACTCTTCAAAGTTCAGATATAAGTACAAACTCTGAATTGATGTTATTTCTGTAGTTCCAGTTATGACTGTTTTAATTGAATATGACTTATTTGTCATCATACAAAATCATCTGTAGCTTCTTAGTGCCTAGAAACTTCAATCTCAACCATTGCATTCCCTTTGACGTGTGTATGCACCCTCTTTTCATATCTAAAACTTTTATGTGTAAGTTTCTATTCACACTTTACACCTCTTTCTATTGTTCGACTGCCTTTGAGGCATACAAATGTGAAAGGAGGGTTTTATAAGCTCCTGGCTTTTTGGTAATGAGAAAGTTGGTTTCATGCTGTCTGTGATTTGTTATAGGAACCATTGAACTCTGTGATTCTTTCACCACCACACATGCTTTCTTCCTCTGGCTTTTCAGATTCATGATTTAATCACTTAATATTGACTACCTTAAAGGTCATTTGCCTAGTCATTTTATATGCATTATCTACTAGCTAACCACTTTAACTCATTCAGGAAAACTGATCGTAAACATAGGTATCATTAAAGTTGAAAACTTCTGTTTGATTTTGAGCAAATTATACATGCATTCTTCCTTTAAGCTTTAGCACTTCTAAAACTAACTGTTGGGAAGGATCAGCCTGCTTGCTGTATAAGAGGTATTTATGAATTGTAGTTCTCTCAATTCTACTTCAATCTAAGAATTTCTATTTTAAGATTCATTACAACTTAGCTTATGAAAACAAAAGTAAAAATTGTTGAGCAAACTGGCTTTGAGATAGAACTGAAACATTCAAGAAAAATTGAAATATTGATAAGCATTTGAAGTCATAATGGAATTTCTATTATCATATTAGCTTATTTTTAAAGCACAGAAATGAAAAATTGCAAAGTAGTGGGTAAGAATCAAATAGCACAATTGCTAGAATACAGTATATATGAGAACAGGCAAGATTCTTAATTATTCATTTATGATTCTTACAAGATTTAAAAAAAATACTTTCTTAATAGGTAGGTTTATATTATGAAAGTGGGTAACTCACTTTGAATTTTTATGCCAATTCAAACCAGTGAGTAATATATGTTTTGTATAGCAGAACATTATTGATTGGTATTTTGTGTTCTAGAGTTAAGTATTTGAAGTCTGTAATTTACTTAGGATTATTCATTTGTCTTTTTCTTCTGCTTTTCAGAGATAATGAAAAGGAAAATATAAGTAAAACATTACCTTCTAAGTGTTTAAAAATGTAATTTGGAAATGTTTTAATTTTTGGCAGAATAAATATATTCAATTTTCTGAAATCAATAAAAAATATAAGTAATGCTGACCCTTGAATGTTTCAAGTCATAACCAGAGAGAGGAACTAATACTCATGGCTATCTGACAGAAAGCAAATGTTAAAGATTAATTTACTCCTTGACAAAATCCATTTTATTTAAATAAGAATAAAGGTAACTGGAATTAGGCAGCTGCGAAGAAAGCTGAACATTTTGATTTATGATAAATAAGATATTTTGTTCCTAACTTTTAGTGTACTCATATTAGTTTTTTAGTGGAGCATTCTTCTTATTGAGAGATTGAACTCAATCCCTTGTCATCTTGAGACAAAATATAGTAGAATTAGACTGAGACAGATAACCAATAATCAAAGTGAACCGATATTCATACCACTATTTTATACTTACTTTTTTGTTCATGGGTTGTTATGCTTATAATCAAATGACTCAAACAGATGTTACTTTAGTTAATTTACTTTTACAAAGCCAAATCTCACTATTTTGTAAAGCAAAGTCAAAGCTCATCTTACTAAAAAGATTGGATACCTTCTAAGGCTGACTGTTTGTTCTAGGTGTGTCTATAAACAGTGCTATCATTTGTGAAAGATTTGACTTGTCTCTAAAGTCATTGATCAATTAAATCAAATCAGGTAGTTCTATCTATTAATGTAGTAGTATAATGGAGAGAAAATGATCTTCGTTAACAGTAATTTTAGATTAGAATTCAGACTTTGCTCCTTGCTGGCTTTATAGCTTTGGCCAAATTACTTAAACTCTCTGAGCTGTAGTTTTATCATGAACAAAATGGGAATTATAATGCTTAACAGCTGTGTTGGGAGGTCAAAATGAGATAAAATATATGATAAGGGTCTATAACAATGTTAGGAACGTATTGGATACTAACAGATGTTAACTTGTTTTCCCTTTATTCTGGGCCCAATTCTACACACACACACACACACACACACACACACACACACACACACACACACACACACTAGTTTGGCTAAATCTTCATCTAATTAATTTACTGGTTAAGTAAGTTAAAATGCTAAAACTGATTCTGTACCCTGGTCCAAAATAAA